TATTGATAGAAGATTTGAGACAAATTAAATGTTACGTCTTTTATGTCTACTATACAGTTTGATAAAAGAATCAAATTAAATAGAAATTTTCATCAAACGATAGCATTTTTAAAGTAAGATTTGCCTATATCCAGTACAGTCTTGTACACATAATTCATTTGAAGATATTGTATGAAATCAAAAGAAATCAGAAAAGTAGTTTTCCTGAAGCTGCAAGTGGAAAAATAAGCTGTATAAATGTTCACAGATTTACAGAATATGATCAATAAATGGGTTGTTCGCAATGTGAAAATAATAGATCTCATGTTTTGTATTATTTTCCAGAATACTAGATTAATTTTGTGAATAGTTAAATAGAATATTTTATAGTTATAATCGGCATAATGGTAATATCTATAAATATTCCAACAGATCGTGTACTCATACTGTGTAACCAATGTATTCTTTTCATGAGTTTCCTCAGAAACTGAGCGCGTTCCTTAAAAACTTATTTGATGCATCAGATGGGTAATATATTATTGTACTTTATTAGAAAAATTAGAATTGGTATGGATCGAGTAGGCAAGAGAAGCAACGATGGCTGTTGTTTTAGTGCTGTTCGATGGTTAAAATAAATGTTACTGTTAACAAGAAGTAGATCATGACAGAAAAAATAAATTGTCACATAGGAAATCGGTTTGAGATATTCTTGCACTAAAATAGTACTTTTTGTATTTGTAAATATCTTTTCTGAGATGTAAATTCTGACAGTTGACCTGCGTTTCTCACTATGAGTCTATAGTGCTCTGATATTGATATCATCTTCTGCTGATCTACTTTTTCGTTTTCCTCCTTATAATCTTTGTTTTGTTTTTTCCTGCACTTGTCTCGCTCCTATGAAAGTATGTGCAGTATGTGAAGTAGTAATATTCCGAAGATATGAAGTAGTTCAATAAACATCACTAGATATTTCACATGCATGCGATTTGGCATTAGAATATTCATTTTTTGGTAAAATAGTACTAGTTGCTTCTCAACTTACTTTCGGTGCTTCTTTTTTTCTTCTGACAGTGTATCAGTATCTTTCCATAGACATCTGATCAATGGAAAGACTCTATTTTGATAGGTGCTTACCGGAGCACTTGATTTAGCCTGTAAATAAACGAGAAAGTCAAAATCTTATGAGTAAATTACAAACCGATAGATGTGGAAAATCGATGCTGTTGTTTCTGCTCTGAGCAGAGTCAGAGCCGATTTTCTCAGCGCGATGAGCGTTGATGTGATCATCAGTAGTATGATTTTGTTCTTCCTCCACTAGCTCGATGATACTGTGACTCGGGGCAAGTGACGCGTCGCTTTTTCTGATGCATTTCACAGCGACATGACTTCGAGCACTATGGAATCCATTTAGGTTCTCGCATTCATTGGTATCATTAATCTGAGCAGATTGGTATTCTTTTTGATCTATACGAATGACGCTAGTGTGAATGTCACGAAGCGGATTATTTTTCTTGTCTCTATGTTTATCGATTACGTTGATCTGAGCAGATTGGAATTTGTTTTGATGTATACGAGTAACACTAATATGACTGTCACGGTGTGGAATACTTTGTTGATCTCCATGTTGGTCGATGATATTACTCCGAGCAGATTGGAGTTCATTTTGATTTGCGAGAGTAACACTTGTGTGATTGTCACGAAGCAGATTATTTTTCTTGTTTGCATGCTGATCGATGACGTTGGTCCGAACAGATTGGGGTTTGTTTTGACGTATACGAGGAACACTAATATAACTGTCGCGGTGTGGAATATTTTGTTGGTCTCCATTTTGGTCGATGATGTTACTCGGGGCAGGTTGAAGTTCATTTCGATTTACACGAGTAACACTTATGTGAATGTCATCAAACAGATTATTTTGCTTGTCTATATGTTCGTCGATTCCATTATTCTGGATAGAGAGAAACTCACGTCGATTTACACGACGAATAGTAGTGTAGCTTCGAAAAAATTTGTTTTGATTTGTATTATCAAGTGAGTTTGGATCGTTGGTTTTGGAAGTTAGAAACTCATTTTGATTTTTGCGTTTGATCGGAGCTGAATAAGACATTATGGAGTTGAAAGATTACTGCATGCTTTTCGATTTTTTTCTTACTAATTGTATGTGATCAATCTGCGTATTATTTTCAATATATGCAAAATTTGCATTATGAGTTAATTTTATTTAGTCAATATTAAATAAGGCTTCATTTACATGGAGAAAAATGCAAGCATACGAGTATTTTATTAAAGAAGCACAATTTTTTTCTTTATTTGTATGATCATGACTTACAGCAGTGGTTGTATACTTCGCCAAACACAATTAATCATAAAATACTAATACTGGACGCCTAGTGTGCTTTTTTTTCCTCATTTATTTAGAATGACATTAATTTGTTCGAAAGAAGAAAATGTTGAAGGAAATTTATTTTGAGATTTTAGACCAGCGAGATGAGGATATTTTTTATTGCATACAATAAAGTCAGAGACGTATAAGAACATCGACAGGAAATCATAATGTATAAAAAATATTCAAGAACATAATTAACGATAAAACGATACATTTCTTTATGCAGATGAGGATGCGGTTGTGGTGTTGGTGTGAAATATTCATGTGAGTATCAGCCTCCACGCTATATCCACACCCTTTTTTGTCACTTTTTCCTTCGAATTTTTTTTCGTTCGGTCAAACTGATACATACCATTATTTATCTAGTATCATATAGAACTTGTTGAATGACTGATGAATACGTTATTTTTACTCATTTCAATGTGAAGTTCTACCTGAAAAAATTAAAATAACTAAAGTAAGTGTCAATGAAGACATTGTCAAACTAATCACTATGGAACAAATACGTAAAAAATGATGAGATTACTGTTATATAAGACATGTCTATTTATTATCTTTCTTAACAAAATAATGATGGGATAGAAGTTAGCGATAGAGAAGTAACGAACAACAAAAGCATATAACTGTTTCAACTCTTTGATACTTATGTTTCATTACATGCTTTTTGCTATAGTGTTGTCTTCCATTTCAAAAAGAGCGTCCGATTGTGAGTATGAGATTGACATGTACAATGGAAGGAAACTATGCAAACGCTACATCAATTAATGATGAGTTAATCACAAACTAGCTGTATTTCGTATAATAACAATCAATAAAACTTTTTTTATGTTTATGACTGTAGCAAATAAAGGACACAATGCTACATGTAGACAGAACAAAAATCTTCGTCCAAAAAAAATATATATATATATCCTGTACATTCTCAAAATAGTTAGGTTTTTTTTGATAAATGTTCACTGGCATAGCAAGACCAATTGATCATACGAAAAAGAAATTTCTTACATTAGCATAATTACAAATTTTTGGTTTGAAATATTTTAAATTAGTCCCGTCATGCATATTTGCTGTATTTAAACAAAGCAGTTACATTAAGCTCAGAAAATTTATTTTTTTGTGCAATCATTTGATATCGTGATCCATTCTTGAGTTTTATATTTGACTTTTGTCTTCCAACAGTCACTATTACAAAATAGTTTTTCAATAGTTTCTTTCCATTGTACACGTCAATCTCATGATTACAATCAAATGCTGTTCATGAAGTAGAGAAGGCAGCACTATAGCAAAAAGCAGATAGTGAAGTAAAAGCATCAAACAGTTACATGCTTTCTTCATTCATTCTTCGTAGAAAAGTAAAGAATCTGCCAGTTTATATAACTACACTTTTTTTTACAAAGTAGGTTATATTCTTATTTGAATTATTATTTGTAAAGAAGATAACAGCATCTTATAGGCTAGTATACAGTTATGTACACATAATAATCAAGCAAAAAGTAATGTGACGATAAGTTTTTGAAGCAGCCTCATCAAGTAATCGTTTTCAGATTTGAGATCAGAGTACTTGAATTGACAAATTTATGTACTTTTTATGAGAAAAGTCGAGGATACATTCAGGTGACCTTTTCCTTGTGAAAAATTCTGATCATATTTAGACTTTAGATTCAGACTTTTCTCCCAAAAGTTGCATGTTAATTTTATCAACAGTTAAATCTAACTATTACTTTCTTCTTGTTTTATGTATTTTTAGTCGATATGTTGATAATTTTCTAATACCAGTTACTTGGTAACGTAACGGTAACTGATCACTTCTAGTCAAGGATCAATGAGAATTAGCATCAGATACCAAATGTACCTACTCAGAGTGTTGCCGTGATTTTATCAGGAAGAAACAGATGATTGTATTGATTCAATTGACTCTGTGAATGTCATTCATTTCGCTGAAGTCCTTAGAGTTCGATGAGTCAATGAAGTTGCTTGAAATCAGTGATATCATGGGATTATCGAATCAACTGTTTCTCCCTTTGGTTGCATCAAGTTCAGAACTCAAAATCGAGAATATTAGACGAAATAAAAAATGATTTTGAGTAATTCCAGATGATTCTATAGTTCTAAGTCAGCTATCTTCTTTTGCATTTGCTCTGGATTTCTTCTGACATAAGAGAATATTATTCCTTATAACGACATGGTATAACATTACGAAACTTTCTATCAAATGATTTTATCCATATTACAACAACTGTTGATCAAATCATTTATAAATTCATACCTCTTTGAACATATATCATATGTTTTATTTTATTCTATTAGCTAAATGGACTCTGCATGAATTAATATATAATATCTTCAACTTTTTAATAAGTTTTGCGCATTCATATTATGTATTAAAATAACTTTTTCGATATATTCTTGTTGATATAATTGCACAATAGTAAAATAATGAAATAGTATTGATTATCAACTCTAAATGTCTAAAGTATGAGAATATTAAGAAAACTTTTTTTTTTAAATTTATTAGTGAATTAGAAAAATCAATCTTACAGATAAATATTATAGACTAATTAAAATAAACTCTATAAGACTAAACGATAATTCTAATAGTCAAATGATCAATAATCGTATCGATTTATGAAGGTCAAGATTAACAAATAGTAGATTTTCGTGGCAGCTTTGTCACAGTTACTCGACGGCCTTGATGCGCATTAATATTTGTGGCCAATGAAGCAGTCTTCGCAAGATCTGCCATTGATCGCATTTCAATAAATGATTTGTTCGAATTAATAGTGATTACATTACCAAGACTTATTGCTCGAGTTCGTTGATTGAAAGTTGATTGACTTCGTGATATTTTGATAACCTTGACTTGATCCAATTTTGATGGTTTCGCTAATAAGGTATTTGAAGAATTTTGTTGAAGAGTGATTAAATTGTTCTGCTTTCCTTCAGCTAATTTTGGTACTCGGACGACTGTGACTGTTGAACGTCGAGTGATTCGAGTATTTTCACCATTGTCAGTATGGTTTTCTGATTTAATGTGGATATTTTTAGTTTCATTCAGTTTTTCAGTGTTATTCAATTGTACAATGGTATCACGCTTAATTCTTTTGACAGAAACTGTTGACGAAGCTCTATGCTCTTCTATATCTGTCGTAGTGGTTACTGCTTCAGAAAAATTCGAATCAGACAAACTTGTATGCAAATCTGATGGAGGAGTATTGTTCATACTATTACGAGGATGTATTGTATTATAAATAACATAGTCCTTAGTTGGTATATTTGATTTGAATATTTTTCTTGGAGCTGCTATTTTTTCTAATTCATTAATTATAAGCCTTGACTCAGAAGTTCGTTCACTGACATGTTCTTCCTTTGATTTTCGACGACGACGACGTCGTGCAACAGGACCCCTGTTAGAAAAAAATGAACTGTGAATCAATTTCTTTTTCAATTAGTTTTATTAGTTCCCTTAGAATTTCAAAGAATTCAGACCGGACAAAAACTTCGACAAAACGTCGGCTCAACTTGCACGATAGTGATGATATTTGTCCACAGTGATTAAACACCGCTATTATACTGGCAATCAACCGTCAGTAATTTTATACATTAATAATTGGAAATCCTCTGACTGTCCTGCTACCACACAATATCAATAGCTGTTCGTTGATCGATTATCTACTGCTGGTATACTATCCTTTCACTTGACTACTACAGTATACCAACGGTAATCCAAACGAACGTGCAAGATCGAATAATATACAGCTAAATAAATTTCTATTTTTTTCATGAAATTAGTCAAAACTTGAAATAGAATTTTTTTTAAAGAGAAGACTATGAGCTCGTTATATTATGGAAACATTAAAGTAAAAATACTTACCATAAAAACCAATACAAACAACAGAACGAACAACATATAGCTAACAATAAACCCAATAATGATAAGCCCAAAATTAATAGCCAATTTATAGATGATTCTATATAAATCGAAAAAATATTATATTTGAAGTAATTGCATTAAATCAATATAAAAAAATATGACAGTCAGCTTGAGAATATATAAAAATCTCGAAACTTTTCAAACTAAAAAGTCTACTGATGTTACATCATATAAAAATTTTTACCTTAGTATTCAAAGAGCTAACGCTGAACTTTTAATATTTGTCAACAAACTTTTTTTTCGTAGATAAATAGTCTTCTAGTTCTATTTATATGTGAATTTTTGGAAGTCTTATGATGTTCGGTGATAATTCGAGAAGGTTGCAACTCGTCACGTGACGAGTTGAATTTTTCAGAAAAAACAGGGCTTTCGTAACGCTAAAAATAGGGATATACGAGAAAACAGGGATATCGTAACAAAATTTACAGGGCTATCGTAGCTGTTTTTTACAGAGAGTTCGTAACAGTTGCAGAGTTTTCGCAACGAGACAACAGGGATTTCGTAACAAAAATTAGGAGTATCGTAACGTAGTCACATATCAAACCACCGGTTACGATCACCCTGTAAAATTCGTTACGATAGCTCTGATTTTTTGTTACGAAAGCCCTAATTCTGTCGTTACGAAACTTCTGTTACGGGCTTTCGTACTGTCAATTCGTTACGAAAGCCAGACAAGAAAAATCGTGACGGGTTGTAACTTTCCCGATAATTCCTAGAACTCATGCTTCGATCGATTCACCATTCTAGAGTTTTGGAAAAATCTCGCAAATCTTACTTGAAGCTTGTGTTGTTGTTGTTGTTGTACTTGTTGTTGTAGTTCTACAAAAATAAAAACAATAAGAAAATTGATTTCGTCCGCATATTTTGATCTTTATAAACTGTAAAAAGTCATGCATTTAGTCAACACATATGATGACATGTATCATTGTACACTTGTTTTTGACCAGTAAATAGAAACAATAAGTGCGAATCGAATGTTATTCGATGGCGTTTTTCATAAGCAACAACTCAACTTCACACAGATCCTTAACGTACAACTGTGGTACAAAAAATACTGAAGACGAATGAATATCGATAGTATCACTGTGCTTAAGTGTCTTTTGATTGAAGTCTTTTTTGATAACTTACGCAGTGGTAGTTGTTGATGTCGTAGTTGTAACGGAGGTTGTCGTAGATGTGGT